TTTCCTCCTTTTATTTTTAAAATTAAAAGAAAATACAATACAAATAGCAAATTGATATATTGAGAAATGTTCAACATCATTGGTCATTCAAGAGATGCAAATTAAAACAACGCTGAGATTCAACTTCACTTCAGAAAGCATAGCTATTATCAAGAAATCAACTAATAACAAATGATGGAAGGGCTGTTGGGAAAAAGAAATCCTTCTCCACTGTTTGTGGGAGTGCAGACTGGTGCAACCTGTGTGGAAATCAGTATGGAGATTACTCAAAAATCTAGGATTAGAGGTCCCATTTGACCCAGCTATTCCCCTTCTGGGCATCTTCCCAGTAGAATTAAAAACATTGTACCACAGCGATGTATGTGCACCCATATTCATAACAGCACAATTTTTAATAGCTAAATCTTGAACACAACCCAAATGTCCATCAAGAAAGGAATGGATAAAAAAGAGGTGGCATTTTTATACAATGGAGTATTACTCAGCCATAAAGAAGGATAAGCTTGAGGCTTTTATAGGTAAATGGGTGCAGCTTGCAATCACATTCATAAGTGAAAGAAATCAGACTCATTGTGTGTAAACATTGTATTGTCTCCCTGGAATGAAAAATTGAGAGTAAATAAGGTCTGAAGTGTACAGTAGATATTATGAAATAGGAAGAAATTATTTAGAAAGAAAAAGGAGCTGGGATGGGGGGAAGGGGAAAGCAAGGAAGGGAAAGGGGAGAAAAGTGCAAGTTAGCTATACTGTTAGAGTCTCTTAGTTCACTGAAAAGGAAGGTTTGTGCTAATATCATTTGGAGAATTTTTTATTTCCATATCTTGTACTCTGAGAAGATGACAATATGCAATGTATTAACTTTTTATTCTCCTATTACTTTGTTAAGAAATTCTGTTTTACCTTGTTGCCATAAAATAAGAAATAAATTAAGCAATTATGAATGCACTTCAGATTAAATAATATACTACTAATAATAATGGATAAAAAAACCAATCACTTTCTAGAATCCAAAAATAACATCAGTGAACCTTACCATCACTTATGGGACACAATAGAATCACTCTTAAGAGACAAGTTTATAACTATGAATGCCCACATCAGAACAGACTGATCCAAATAAATAACCTAATGATGCTTCCAAAGACCCTAGAGAAACAAGAACAATGCAAATTCAAAACCAGACCAAGAAGGAAATTATAAAGATCAGAGCAGAACTAAATGAAATTGAGACTAAAACTACAATACAAATTATTAATCAATAAAAAGCTTGTTCTTCTAATACACAAATGAAGTAGACATTCTTAACCCAAAAGAAAGAAAGTCAAAACTGTATCAATGCATTTAGAAATGAAAAAGGCAAAATCACAATGGACACACCTAGCATCCAGAGTTTTATAAGTATCTACTTTGAAAATTGTATTCCACTAAACTGGAGAATCTAGAAGAAATGCCTAGATTTCTAGGTACATATGAGTTCCCAAAATTGAATCAAAATGATAAAAAAATGAGAAATCCAATAACAGGCAATGAAATTGAAGCAATAATAAAATCCTACTACATAAGAAAAGATTAGGACTTTTGATTGATTCACCACTGAAATCCCAAAACCTTTTTAAAAAGATTTATTGCCAATATTCCTCAGAATTTTCAATGAAATTGAAAGGGAAGGAGTACAGTCAAACTCAATCCTGGAAGGTAACATTACCCTGATACCAAAACCAGACAAAAAGTTAAGCAAAAAAAAGCACAAGCCAATCTTTCTACAAAACATAAACGCAAAATTCTTCAACAAGATATTGTGACCAGAATATAGCATATCATCAAGATCACACATCACGACCAAGTTGAGTTCATCCCCAAGATGCAAGGATGGGGGCCACATAAATAAATTAATAAATGTAATACATCACAAAAACAGAAGCAAAGGAAATAATCACGTGGTCATCTGATTGGATTCAGAAAAAGGCTTTAACAAAATCTAGCATAAATACCCGGAAGAAAAAATTGTTACAGAATGACCATACCTCAAGCTTGATCAAAGCCATTTATGACAAACTTATGCCACCATCATACTAAGTGGGAAAAAGGTAATATCTTTCCCCAAAAGTGAATAACAAGAACAGATTGTCCACTCTTGTCACTCTTGTTTAATATTGTTCAAAACTTTAGTCAGAGCCCTCTGGGAAAAGAAAGAAGTAAAAGAGACACACACAGAAAAGGAAAAAGTAAAGATATTCTTATTTGCAGATGACAAAATCCAGTACATAAAAGACCCAAAAATTTCCACCAAAAATTACCATAACTAACAGTTTCTGCAAAGGATACAAAATCAACACAATCAACAAACAAAAATCAATACTATTCTTACACATCATCAGTGAACACACTGAGGCAGAAGTCAAGAAGACAGTATCATTCACAACAGCTGCAAAAACAATTAAATTTCTAAGTATTAATTTAAGCAAAGAAATGAAAGACCTCTACAATGAGAATGTAATCTAGGAGGACACTAGTAAGCAGAAAGACTTCCTACGCCTGGATAGACAGAATCAATATTGTGAAAATGGTCATATTACCAAAACTGATTTATAGATGTAATACAATCCCAATCAAAATACTAAAAGCATTCTTCACAAAACTGGAAAAACAATCCAAAAATGCATATGGAACCAAAAATGATCAAAAGTAGCAAAAACAATTTTTGGCAACAAGAGCAAAGCAGCACACATTACAATCCTGGATCGCAAACTATATGGCAAAGCTGTACTGTTAAAAATAGCATGGTACTGGCACAAAAGCTAATGCGTGAATTAGGGGACAGAATAGAGGCTGCAGAAACAACCCTAGACACACTCTTCTGCATATATCTTGGGTGTTGAGCTCCAACTTCTAGGAGGAAGACAGCTAGGACAAAGAGACACTGAGTGGCAAGTGTTCAGGAAGATATAAAATTGCAACAGCCCAGCTGCCCTTGCTTTAATAGGATTGTTGCCTTTACTTCTTCCCTCAGGGCATTACATAGTGTCCCAATTTTAGTGTATATGCTGCTGAAGCAAGCATTAGATATTGCTCCGAGATTGTAGGAATAGGAAGCAACTCTGCCTTTTTCTCTAACCCCTCTTGACTGGGTACCCTCTGGTGGGTTTCCCTGTCAAGTCCCCTTCCCAGGCACGGGTTTTTTACTTGACCTCATTTCTGAGTATGTGCAGATCCTGGTCAGCACCCCCAGACCATCTCATTAGTGTCACTACCTCCAATCTATCATAATGGGCCTCAGCAACAGTAAATGGTGGATATGCTAGTTGCCACAAGCTAATCACCACAGTTTGTATACAGGTATTGAAATATTAAACTGTGCCATGTAAGTAAGATCAATTGGCATGTGTTTTTAAACATACCTTTGAAGTCAGTAACACTAAAACCCATGTCTTGGGCTCTGGTTCCCAAGACAGAAAACTGACTTTAAGAAATGAAGTCATTTTTTGGAATATCACAAATGGCTACACAAGGGCAAAGTCGCATGAAATACAAATGTTAAAATGTAGTTAGCCTCTATATCATCATGTGGTCACTTTGATGAGCTTAGCGATAGAAGAGTCAGGCATCCTAACACACCAGTATTCCTGTCACTGTGACTTACTCTATAAACCCCAGCCCACAGCAGGTGACATATCACAGAACAGAAGACGCCCTTCTGAAGAGCTTCCTTAATGCTTCTTTCATGTCTCTGTTCCTCAGACTGTAAATAAAGGGGTTAGTTATTTGAGGCACCACAGAATACATCACTGAAGCCATGGCAGTTTTTCTGGAGGAGTCAGTAATTGCAGAACTGATGTAGACACCCAATCCTGTCCCATAGAACAGGGAGACAACTGTCAGGTGAGAGCCACATGTTGAAAAGGCTTTATACCCTGCTCTACCTGATGGAATCCTCAAAACGGAGGAGACAATTTGAGCATAAGAGAAAACGATTCCAGAGAGAGGAACACCACCGAATATGAAAGCTGCAGCATATATGAGGATGTTATTGATGAGGGTATCAGAACAGGCAAGGTTGATGATTTGAGCAAGTTCACAGAAGAAGAGGGAGATTTCCAGGTCTGTGCAGAAGGACAGATGCAGCACTGTCAGAACAAGCAGGAGAGCATTCACAGCACTAATGGGCAGGGACAGTAGAACCAGCAGAGCACAGAGGCGGGGGTTCATGATGACTGTGTACCTAAGTGGATGGCAGATGGCCACGTAGCGGTCATAGGCCATTGCTGCAAGCAGACAATTCTCCAAACCAGCAAAAAACAAAACAAAGCCGGCCTGAGAGAGGCAGCCTGAGTACGTGATGCTCTGATCCTGTGCTTGGATGTTCACCAGCATCTTTGGGATTGTGGTTGTGCTGAAACAGATGTCAGTGAAGGACAGGTTGGAGAGGAAGAAGTACATGGGCGTGTGCAGGTGGGAGTCAGAGCTGATAGCCAGGATGATGAGCAGGTTTCCCAGGATGGTGACCAGGTACATGGACAGGAACAGGCTGAAGATGACCAAATGCATTCTTGGGTCCTCTGTTATTGCAAGAAGAAAAAACTTTGCAACGTCTGTTTGGTTTCTAGCTTCCACGTTGCATCTGATGGAAATGTGGAATGACATGACATATTAGCACTACCAGCAGCATCACCTGGGAATGTGTGAAAATACAAGCTCTTTGTCCCATATCCAGACCTATTCACCATAAACTCTGGTGATGGATCCAGCAGTGCAGGCTTCAGTAAACCCCCTGGATGACCTTGACATATGCTAAATTGAGAACAGAAGTGCATTCAATGACCAAACTTTCTCATAGTTAATATGAATTCAAGTAAACAAGTAAATATTTTCCTCTGTTTGTTTCCGCCTCCACCCACCTTCCTGCACACCTTTTTCCTCCACTCTTCTTATTAAAACACACTTCTGCTGCACATCAACTTTGTTTTACCCCTTGTGGTAACTTCTAATAATAGAACAAAGCATAAGTCCATGCTTGAAGCAAACCAAAGATAAGAGTCCAGTTATGAAATCTGTCTTCTAATGCAATGGTTCCCTAAATTTGGCTTGCTTTAGAATACCACAAGGGTGTATCAAATTGCACATGCGTGATTGCCTGCTATCATCCCCACTTACCTACAAGAATCCTTAGTGTGAGGTTATATTATGGCTATGAACTAAATAGTACTTGGCAAAACCTGCATTTGAGCTCAGCTATCCTGACTGCTGAGTTGATTCTCTAAAGCAGTCACTGTTGATGCTTCTGCATACTGCAGCAGAGAGCTGAAAAGACTTTGAAGTAAGCACTTGGCGAGAAACAAGCAGCCAGTTATACTTCTGTGAAGCAATGAGAAAAAGAAAATGGACGGTTAATCAAAGGGGCAAGGGGCTACACTCCTTAAGATAAGAGAGCAGGCTTCCTGGGAAAACGGGATGAACCCATACAAGTAACCAACTCCACTCCAACTGTAGGCCCTGAACCACTAAAAAATTTTAGTGGTTAATGATACTCTGAAGATTTCATAGTATTCAAATGTCTCTTTTGTTCTGGACTCAGTCTCTGGAGCACCCAGCTGTGCTTCTCTCTCATAAGTTTTCATTTCATTTCCGCTTTGGGCCTAGTCTTATATGATTTCCATCTTATACAAGATGATTACCCACACTACCTGGTGACAGTATGACAGAATTATTATCTCTAACTGATAATTCAGAGCTCATCATCTACTCTAGTTATTTTAATATTTTCTGCTAGTCTTTTCCTTCCTCTAAGATAGGTCCATCTCTACCTAGGAGATTAGTTGCAGCATGTTTTGACATCTATCCAGTGGATCTTAGCAAATAATAGAGAAAGAGCAAAGGGAACTGGAGGTTCTTAAGACTCTTCTACAAACTGCATGGCATCTCCTTTAGCAACTAATATTAGAACTAGCTGGACACCTTTATATCATTATTGTCTCACCCTAAGCTATTTCTCTTCTTAACTTGAGAGGTGGCATACCATTTCCAAAGTAGCTAAATGAGAGAAGGTGACACACATAGACCTCTTAAAAATGAGAAAAAACTTTGGTTACATTCAGAAAACAGAAACTTACAGGAAAACACAGATTTATAAGACACCTAGAAGATAATCCCACTAGGAGTGTCATGGTACAGGAATGATCTCTGTCCTCAAAGAGAGGAAAAAGAGGCTATAACGTCACATTTTATTTGGTACAATGCTTATTGAACATGACCCAGGCCTTTGCACATGCTTTCTGAATGGGAAAGATCTTCAAATTACTACAAAGACAATACACAGTGTGTTAATTATTGTAACTCTCCTGCTAACCTATTTTGAAACTATTTTATTTTTATTTTTATTTTTTTCTCTTTAAAATAGAAAAGGATGTGAGAATTCAGACCTCACATTTGTAAACAAGAACAGTGTGACAAAAGTGTCAGCTTGTTGACAGTAGTCATTTTTCATTTTATATGTGTACCAACCACCACATCATATGCTTTCAATAAATATGTTTTTCAATTATTTTCTATAGACCTGGAAAAACTATGGGGGTGTTGTAGGATGAGAAACAGATAGATCAAAAATACCCAGCACAGAGATCAGCACTTGGAATGTTTTTTTTCACATGTTCTACTGGTTTACTTTTGTGTTGTTGGGTTCCACTATACGCGGAACTCTTCGTTCTCCTTAGAGAAGCAGTGTACCAAAGCAACTGAAGAAGATAAAGGACATTGCTAACATAATAAGTGAAAATCCTGAGGAAGTGTTTACGTGCTGCATAGAAGTGTCCTACCTTTGGGAATGATGGTCACGCTGAAAAATGAGAAAGGAAACATCAACGATATCAGTACTCACTTGGCATACTTATATTATAAAACGTGTGCAATTAAAATGAAATAAATAGTAAATGAGTTAGATACATCAGTCATACCTGACCTTACTTCCAAAGCATTAAGTGTGGGACTCTGTTAACTGGTTGGCTTACAAAAAAAGGTGTTCAGCATCTCACCTGGCTACTGCAAATGGAGATGTGCTCTGCAGAAGGACAGGCAGGCTGAATGGGTTACCATGCTTCTGGTCCACAAGGATCATCTTTGGGAGGAGAGCGCGTGTTGCTTCCTGACAGGGACAGGACTGTGTAGGGACGTGACCACGGGCTGACTTCTTCAGTCTATCAATCCCCCCGGGGCGGTGGGGGGGGGTCAATATCCAAAGCTCCTCATTACACCAGCTATTTTACTACCATTCTGCTCCCACAAGTACCTAGCCTTAAAGATCAACTCTGTTGAAGCGAGGAATTCAGGAAGGCTAATTTTCTGGCCCTTGGGAACACGTTTGCATCCCTTCTTTCTCAGCACTTTTTTCCCTGTTCATCTCCATTTCATGGGCCCTGAAAACATTACACATACTGCATACTTCTCCAGTGACGTCCAGAGTTACCCTATAGTTACCAAGAGAGGAATCCTGGTGTAATTAATAATATAAACATCTCATTCTGATTTTTCAAATTACGTTTATTGGTACATTTTAGATATACATAACGCTCGTATTCATCCTGGGGAATTTGGACGTGTACATGATATGCTCTGATTCCCCTTCTTTTCCCAATCCCCGCTCCTCCCTTCAACCCCTCTTCTCCTCCCTATTTACAAAACTTTGTTTCCATTTCATCCTTTTTGTTGTTTCTTTTCTTTTTCCCTTCGTTTCTCCCACCCCATCCCTAGCTCCTCTTTCCTTTTGAATAATTTCTTCCCACTTCACAATAGCTTTTGTACATGTTGGTTCTTATGTCTTCTCAGCCTCTCACACCAGGCAGACAATGCTATATTTGCACATGTAAATCTAATTTATTTCACTTAGGAGTATGGTCTCAAGTTGCATCCATTTACCTAGAAATGCATCAAGTTTAACCTTCTTTGTGGTGGACTAGTACTCCACTGTAAAGAAAAATATTTTTTAATCGATTCTTTAGTTGGTGGGCATTTAGGTGGTTTCCAAGATTCAGCTATTGCAAACTGTGATACTATAAACATGGGTGGGCATATATTGCTGTGTTATGATATTTTTAATTCTTCCAGGAAGATACCAAGAAGGGGTATAGCCGGGTGAAATGGTATCTTTATTCCTAGTTTTTTGAGGGATCTCCATAATGATTTCCACAACTGTACCAGTCTACATTCCAAATAACAGTGGAGAATGGCACCTTTATCCCTACAGCCCCTCTAGCATCTGTTGTTGGTTGGTTCCTCTAGAAAAAAAGACTATCATCAAGAAATCAATTAATTTGATTTTAACTTACTGACTACTTGTAATTCTTCATTTGAGAAGTGCCTGTATATTTCCATTGCCCATTTTTTATTGAGTCTTTTATTTTCTGGTGTCTGGTTTTAGACTTATTTACATAATCCAGATGTTACTCTTCTACCCAAGAAATATCTGGAAAAAAATTTTCATTCTTCTGCACATGGATTAATTGGTTTTCCCAGCACCATGTGTTAAAGAAGCTGTCTTTTCTCCAGCACGTTTTTGGCCTTTGTGTCAAAGATAAGATGGCTGAAGGTGTGTAGTTTCTTTCCTGTATCCTCAATTCTGTTGATTCAGTATTTCTGTAGTAGTGGTAGTTTCATAATTTTTATCACTGTAGCTTTGTTATATTATCTGAAATGTGGGATTGTGATGCCTCCTGCTTTACTGTTGTTGCTCAGGCTAGATTTGTATACATGGGGTCATTTTGGGTTCCATATGAATTGCAGGATTTTTTAATCATTAAAGGATGGTGTTTGTTTATTTATGGGAATTTCATTAAATCTATGTGTATTGGGTAATATATTTATTCCAAGAATATTGTGTCTGCTTATCAAGGAAAGAATTTCTTTGTATTTTCTAGTGTCCTTTTTAATGTTTTTGATTATTATAGTTATAAGTATAGATGTCTTCCTGTCTTGATTAGTTAACTCTTTTTATTAATTTTTTTAGCCTTCTGTGAAGGACATTACCTTCTCAATTTCTTTCCCAGTGTTTTCATTGCTGGTATACAGAAAAGTGATTCGTTTTGTGCACTGATTTTTTATTCTGTTGTTTTCTACTTTTTCATGAGTTCTAAGATTATTTTGGTGGAGCTTTTGGGTCTTCTATGTAAAGAATCATGTCCTCTGCAAAAAAGGGATAGTTTAAGTTTGTTTCTTATACAGCTCCCTTTTATTTCCTTCTCTTGCCTGATTCTGGTGGCTAAAGTTTCAAATAGTATTTTGAACAAGAGTGGTAAGAGTGGATGCCCTTGTCTTATTCAAGATTTGAGCTTTTCCACATTTGAGGTGTTTTCAGTCTCAACTACTAAACACAAGATGATAAATCTTTTATTGAGAAAACTAGGGATTTTTATTTTAAGACCTATTTAGCACAGACATGAAATAAAATACTGAATAATGTTAAAACTAAGTGCTTGTTGTCATAAACTAAACCCTAGAAGCACATACAAAGACATATGCCCTTAAAAATAAATTATACCCCCACATACTAAACTCCAAAGACATCTACTTCAATCACAAATCTACTTCAATTACATAGAAATGTTATGAATAATTTTTACACCAGACAATCAGCTTACTGGAAATATGTAAAATGTACAGATCATAAGAGAAAAAAACTGAGTCATAATATGGGAAATGAGCCTTAAATTCACAATAAGAGAAACAAAAATTAATTAAATTCCATTTTACACAGTAAGCTTGTCAGGAAAAATTGAAAATAGTTTGAGGAAGATGTTGAATAGTAAAAAATACAATAATAATATAAATTAGTTTCATCACTTAGGAAAACTCATTCAAAATATGCACACATAAAGAGCCCCTCGATCACAGCCAATCATTCCATTTCATATGTAAAGCTACCTTTTATTTTCCTCAGAATAGATCACTGAAAGGACATTATTCACAACACTGAAAGAGCATGTAATTAAGACAATTTACTGATGATATCCTAGAATGTGGTGTATGGGTTTCACATTAATTCCACCAAGAACAAATTTGGGAGAGTTGGAAGTTTTTGGAATAATTTTATTCTCATCCTCATATTTCTATGTGTGTGTGTGTGTGTGTGTGTGTGTGTGTGTGTGTGCTGTAGATTGATTATAGTGGAAACAATTTTTTCTACTATGAAGATCTCTTTAGTTAGTATTTCCTTTTAGGTGGTGAACTCTAGGCATGGCTAATTATTGTCCTTTGCCTCTGTCTCAAGCTCCAACAACCTTTTTTAATCGGGATGGGGAGGTTGAAGCATAATTGGCCCAGTGTCTGTTTCTCTGGGAATGAACAACTGTTGTACAGTGAAAACCAGTTAATACCAATTGCTCCACCTTGACCATAACAACAAATTTAACAACCAAAACAAAGTCATTTCACACTAGATACTGACATACTACAAAAAAACAATAGAAGATACCACTGTAGTACCTTAACCATATAAAAGAGATCTAGGGGGCTGGGGGTTTAGCTCAGCGGCAAAAAAGCGCCTGCCTGGCAAGCGCAAGGTCGTGAGTTCGGTTCCCGGTACCGGAGAAAAACCAAAAAAAAAAATAAATAAAATAAAAGAGATCTACAAGTATAATTTAGACACAATGATAAACCAAATATTTACATAAAGTAAATATCTACTAATGTACCCACTATACCACCATTAACAGTGCAAAAGAATTAAACGTTAATATCATATGGTTAATTAAATATCTAAACATTGATAAAGCTTAACTTATATTAAATATATAAAGATTAATAAAGCTAGGAAAAGTTGAGTGGTGGTGAATGGAAGAATGAAAAAAAGATGTGAAAGATAAACAAATGAAAGTGAAGGAAGGTTGAAAAGTGAAGTAAAGGATCTATTTTAGAATTAAGGAAAATTAATAAAATTAGATAAAGTAACAGAAAAGAACATGATGGGGGGAAAAAGAAAATCAGAGAATAAAGTAAAAGACAAAAACAACACAATATCCCCAAATCCAATGAAGAAACAACAACAAAAAAAAAAAGCCCCTGAAAATTCTGCATGTTTTGAATGAGATTTTTCTCTCCTCGGTGTGAGGTATTGGGATCCCCCGGACATTCAGGTGGGACAGTGGGTCAGTGCAAAGTCTTCTTTTGTTTCCACACTCAGGTTTCTATGTATATATGCCGAATCCCACCTGCATTTCCCATTGGGTGTGGTTAGTCAATGTTACACCCTAGGGCTGTAGTCACACTAGGAGCTCCAGTTTCCTTGCTCCTCTGTGTGCTCCAAGTCATGGATTTCTCTGCTGACCTCTAAGGTCTCTGGGTTTGTGATTTACTATGCTTCCCTCCTCCTGAGGCCCCTCTGTCCATACAACCCAGGCTGTGGCAATCATTCAAGCCAAGCCACATCCATGTTCATGCTGGCAGATGGGGAAAGCAAACCTACCACTTAGTTCTGTGCTGGATATAGGAAGCAGGTCTGAGATTCAGGCCGACCTGTGGACTTCATGGAAGAACTTCCAGATCCAGCCCCTCTGAAAGCCTTACGTGATTGGCCTAGCTTCTCTCCACTTATGGAAGGACACCTGTATCCTTCCTGGCCTGAATGTAAAATTTTTAGGGGAGGGGGCTTATGGCTAGCCTGTGACTTCTCCATGCTTGTCCAATGTGACCAATCTCCCATGCAGCCCCTCTGGAATAATGATACCAGAAACTCTCATGTATAAAATATGGAGTTGTTCTGTGACTCAGTTTTAAATAATTAACCCCTTCCCAGAATGGCTCCTGATTAAATATTATCAAATGTGGTGGGCACTGCACTGTATTTCTTCTGCATCTCCAGCTTCCCTTGTAGGAAGAGTCGCCTTCAGAGTAAAATCTCATATTATCTTTGCAGTTTATACCAGCTCTAAGTTTTTATTGGGGCTAGCTCTGCTGGCGATGCCTGTAGTTTTGCTCCAACTCTGGGACCTTCTCCGGGCTTACCTGGTGTCATCAGAAACTGTTTCCCTCACTCTTCACCCGGGGTCAGCTTTCCAGATTACTTTGTGTTTTTCTCTCCACATTGTGCTCCATTACTCTAGCTTCTCTGTAGTTTCTAATTTTCCTATCAGTTCCATCCAGAGAATTGCTGCTTTCTTTTCATCAAGTAGGTTTCCAGGTGTTGCAGCTCCAGGTTGTGGAAAGACTGTACTTTGCTGCTGGTCTCTACCCTGCCAATTTTAATCTTCCCAGAGGATTCTCTTGATCTCAGCCCGCTTCCCTTCTTAAGTATCCCCCATGCCTTTGTGCTCACTTTCTATCGGGCACCAGCTGAGCATCCTGTGTCCTGTCTTTTAGCTAAGACAGGTCATGCCATCTCTTTGCCCATGTTTCCTCTCCCCTTCACAAAGCCATCAATTTTCCTCCTGTGAGCTCAACAGTGTGTGGGGCTCAGAGCCACCAGCAACCTTCAGGTAGTGTTGGAAGCCACTGCTTCTTAAAGGCACAATAATTTTTCAAGCATCAAATGCTGGGGTTCAAAGCTTTAACACATAAGCCTTTGGGAACATTTCAGATTCAAGCTGTAGAACTGGATGATGGTAAGAATGATCCTAGAATGAGACCACCTCATTTAGGGCACAGTGAAGACCTAATCCTGGACATTGCCTATTGTGTATTTGCAAAATCATAATAATGAACGACTCTCTTGATAGCCCAAGCATATTTGTGTAAAGGCTCCTTTTTCTTATGAGTAGAGAATCTTCTCTAATGAGTTCAAAATCTAAAATGTCTCAAAAATGCCTCAAACCATTAATATAATCTATTGTGTGAATTGGAAAAGTAATGACGCTGAGTAGGGGAGATGTTAATATGAACTCAGAAAGATTCAGCTGCTTGAATAAAGTGCCAGTAATTCCTTAATTATATGTAACAGTCCAATTCATTAGCATCATGAGGAGACAACAGCCATGGCTCTATCTATGAGATCATGAAGAGGTTCATTTCCAGATGTTAGTGCAGCTTGCATTAAGTTCAGCTACTCCAACATTACCTGCAAGATTGATGCATAACAAACTTCTAAAACTGAGGACTTAGTTCACATTTTTCTTTCAATGAGTCAGAACAATTAAATGCAGTTTAGAGGTTGAAATCATTTCTCAAACATCACAGAACAGGGTAAATGAAAGGGAAGCACAAAGCACAGATTGAAATGTGTTTAGACGTTATATTATGTGGTCATTTTGGAAGACCATAAGAGCCAGGCTTTCTGTCCAACCTTTATTCTTCTCACTGGTCATATTCTAGAAATTATAGCTCAAAGCCCATGACACCAGCATGTAAAAGGCTTCCCAGTTATGAGATGCCTCAGAGCTGTCTTCATCTCCTTGTTCCTCAAGCTGTAGATAAAGGGATTGATCACTTGAGGGATCACAATGTACATCACTGAAGCCACTGCATTCTTAGTAGAAGAGTCAGTAAATGTACAGCTCAAGTACACACCAAAAGCTGTCCCATAGAAAAAGGAAACAACAAATAAGTGAGACCCACAGGTTGAAAAAGCTTTATACCTTCCCTCAGCTGATGGCATTCTCAAAATACAGGAGATGATTTTAATATAAGAGAAAATGATACCAATGAGAGGAACACCAAAAAATGTGTTTCCCGCTGAATATATCAGCATGGCATTGATAAAGGTATCAGAACAGGCCAGCTTGATGACCTGAGCAAGTTCACAGAAGAAGTGTGGGATTTCCACATTCATGCAAAAGGACAGTGGCAATGCTGCCAGACTGTGGAGCAGACCATGCACAATGCTTGTGAGCAGAGAGAGTAGAACCAGCAGGACACAGAGGCAGGGATGCATGATGATTGTATACCTCAGGGGATGACAAATAGCCACATAGCGGTCATAGGCCATTACCAGAAGGAGACAATTTTCTAAACAACCAAACACTAATACAAAACAAAGCTGGGAGAAGCATCCTGTGTAACTGATTCTCTGATCCTGTGCCTGCATGTTCACCAGCATCTTTGGGATAGTGCTGGTGCTTATACAAATATCAGTGAGGGACAGGGTGGAGAGGAAGAAGTACATGGGGGTGTGGAGGTGGGAGTCACAGCTGACAATCAGAATGATAAGCAGGTTTCCCAGGATGGTGACCAGGTAGATAACCAGGAACAGGCTGAAGATGAGGGGCTGCAGTTGTGGATCCTCTGTCAGTCCCAGGAGAAGAAATTCTGAAACAGATGTTTGGTTTTTGAATTGCATGTTGCTGGTGAATCTAAAGAAAAGATGGGATGGGAATAAAATGAGACAAATGGTTTCTGGATGAGCAGCAGTGTCTCCTGGGAATGATAAGAATCAAAATTCTTAATACGACTATGGATGTCTGATATACGCATTCTGGGAAGAAGGACAAGCATTCCATGTTTAGCATATTTTGCGCAAATTTAACATTTCTAAAGTGTTTCTAACAGTGTCTTAAAACAAAGAAAAAGTAAGAATTCACATTCCCAGCCTATACGAATATTCAGTTCTTGCTCTGTCCCTTTCTTTCTCTATTTTTCTTTTCTCTCTTTTCTTCTTTTCCTTTTTATTTTTTTATGGTAAAACAACTTCCAGTCCTTAGTCAGCTTTTATTTTGCATAGCTTCATTTAGCAAATATCAGTTATATTTCAAGGGTGCTGCAAATTTTAATGGGGGTTGCTCTTCTACTCAAGTGAAGCACACCTCCCAAACTTCTTCAGAATCAGTCACTCTGAGGCTCCCAGTATGTTAGAATCATCCAATTATGACCAAGCTCCACCTAGGACCACCTAAATCCAAATCTCAGGGCAGGGCTGCACACATCTGTGTCTAGTAAAAGCCTTTCCTGCGATTCTAATGTGGAGCTGGGGTAAGGAACCACTGTCCTAAATCAAACAGTACTGTGAGGGCACTCATCTTGGGAATGGTATTTGTTTCACTGAGGGAGTGTGTTCTATATAGGCATTTCTCATTCAAACAAGAGTTAAACTTCCTACAGAAATTATAACTGAACTCTGGGCTGTCAAACTAGTCTATAAAAACTCATTTGGCTCCAACTGAGCCTAATTTGTGAATCAATACTATGTTCAGTAGGCCAGTGATGGAGAACTTTCTAGAGTTTTCAATGACACAGCAGCCCCCTGTGGCACCTGTGCTGTAGATTCACCACCACGGCAGTAAGATCTCTGTCTAGGGGCCTGGGGATTTAGCTCAGCGGCACAGTGCCTGTCTGCAAGTGCAAGGTCGTGAGTTCGATTCCTGGTACTGGAAGAAAAACCAAACAAAAAGATCTCTGTCTACAAAGACTACTGGACAGGAACAGGGCCAGGCAGCTGTCACTCCAGAGAATAGCATACCCATGTCATAAGTAGGTTGTAGAATCCTACATCAGAGACTAGTGAAGGTCAGACGGTCCAGCTTCCAGCTAGTCGGTGCAGGTCTCAGCTGCTTCCAAGTAATTATGGACTAGAGTCATAACTGCTAACTGAGGGAATTCAGAGTTTTCCCTCCCCAAGAAAGGCAGCTAGTGTTGCTCATTCCACAAGGTTCTCATTAATAAAAGTGCAGACAGTCTCTGATTTAGGGATTTACATGAAACATTGCTGCCCTGCAGTGTCTCCTCTCTTCTAACTCCTACTTCCTCTTTTCATACACAGGCTTTTCAGAATGGTGGTGTCTTAATTACTTTTCTTTTTGCTGCAACAAACTACCCAACACCAAAAATTAAAGGGAGAAAGCTTTATTTAGCTCACAGTTTGTAGAGGTTCAGTCCATAAACAGCTGGTTCCAAGGTAGGGTGGCACATGGCAGAGGGGTAAGCATTTATGGTAATGGAAGACAGCAAAAGCAACAAGGAAGAAAGAAAAGGGACAAGCCTCTCTCTGTCCCTTATATTATACTCAAGCTACCCACCCTGGGGCAGGTGTAGCACCCATATCCTTAATCCCAGCATTAGAACATGAATCAATCATGAATTCTAGATTCAAACACCTCTGAAAAGCCCACCTACCATGGCTGCTTGAGACTTTGGGGACATCTAGACACAAACCATAACAAGTAGAAAATGTCAAGATTAAAAGAAAGCATACTTGGAGCTGGGGATTTAGCTCAGCGGCACACTACCTGCTTGGCAAGAGTAAGGTCGTGAGTTCAATTCCTAGTACTGGAAAAAAACAAAAACAAAAACAAAGAAAGCATAAGACGTGGATCTTTCTTACTAGCCCAAGCCTTAAAACGAAAAGAAATGTGAGAACAAATTTATCAAATTTATCTCCTACAGCAGCAGTAGCCATTCTTTTTGGTACTGGGGACCAGAAGGCACTCTAGCCACAGACATGGGAGGAGGAGTAGGTTGGGATGATTCAAGTGCATTCGTTCTGTTGTGCACTTTATTTCTATTATTATTACAATGCAGTATATAAAGAAATAATTACACAACTCACTAAAATGCATAAGCAAGTAAATAAATAATGGGTAAGTCTCATGAATATTGAAATTACAGTTGGATTCTGACCTAAACCCTGACACCAGGTGCAGCTGTATGATGGAAATACATCCAATCACCTGCCACCGTAAGCTCGGTGTCCATGTGCAGCTTAGTTGTCACTTACCCCTCACTGATAGGATTTTGATAGGAGTCTACAAACAATTGGTGTATTATGGGCTCTGTGCAAACATCTCTTTTATTATTTTTATCCATTTTCTGGTGTTAGCATCAGCACCTAGGCTCCACCATAGATCGTTAGGCATTAGAGTGTCCTAAGGAGTATGGAACCTATGGTAACATTTAAGCTCAAGTGAGAACTTAAAGCTACTGCTTGTCAGAGAGAGGGCAGTCAGGTGGTCGGGTAAGCCATGGAGAGTAACTACAGACAAAACTTTGATCGCCTGCCTGCTGCTCACCTCCTGCTGTGTAGCCTGATTCCTGACAGGCCATAAACCAGTCAATAGCCTAGGTTTGAGGAGCAACAGTCTGTTCTGCAGCAATGGTCTCTTATTTTTGAAAGTCTTAGTATCATTTGAATGTCTCATCAATTTGCAGGTGCGATGGTTTATCATTTAGACCTATGTACCTATCAGCACACATCATGGAAATATACCCACACAGTTTGGCAAACACTAGGTCAAAGATCTCATTGTCAGACTGCTGAGCTGTTCCTCTTGATTTGTCCCTGCAAAAACCCATGGATAATACAGAATGAGCATTTCTAAATGTTTCCATATTTCTGGTTAATTTCCTTTACAACTGTAATAGCTTCTATTGAAATAAATCCCCAAACATTCCCTTGATTTGAAAGTATGTCACTTTGTATGCATTCGGTGAGGTGAGGGTGAGGAAGACAGCCATTATGTGGACAGGAGCAATGACAGGAAAATACTGCCTTTAGAAATGAAGCTAGTAATACTGTCCCTTGGAAAAACAAGTGATCTGCTTTAGCGATTATTTCTAGAAGCTAGGTAACTATGTTGATAACATTATTTCCATTCCTATGGGAAACTCTTCCCTGAATGAGTTACAAAACAAATAATTGTATAGAATTAAAAAGCAAATAAAGTAATAACTACATTTGAGAAAAATAAAATGCAGTCTTCTATTAAAAAAGATAGAAATGAAAATGAATTTCTCCTCTGTAGAAGATAGACACTTAAAAATTTACAGGGACTCGTATTCAGACTTCCTAATAGGAGTGTTCCTTGTGAGTATTGCTGTTTCTCCCTTGAGGATGAGAAAAGCAGCTGCATTAGGAATGATTGTTTGGTGTAAAGTGAGAGTCATGGATCTGAATTTATTGCGTCCTCCAGCAGTTGTTTTGGAATGGGGGAAAATCTCCAGTTGGATGTTTTACCTCTGTATGGAGGAATCTGTTTCAATGTGTGTGTTCATTAGCTGCAGCAAAGCGATCTTTGACAATGTGTGCTTCTCCAACATACACTGCATATATGTTAAAGACATAATTTTAATTCTGTAATTATACCTCAGATTCTCAGGTATAAAAATTCTCATGGAGATATTTCAAAGATAGGAATAATAAAGTAAGCAAAAGCAGCCTGTGTAGTTCTAGGTAGGATCAGCCTTCAACTGACTCTTCCAATCTTTTGTGTCGGTGTATGTGTGTGCATGCATGTGTGTGTATGTGTCTTTCACAAGCAATAAGCACACTGCACTTTTAACTTGTCAGGAGGAAGAGACGCGTTGGGGTAGTTGAAGAAAAAGAAAAGGAAGACAGAAAAACTGTCGCATAAGCAATGCTATTAGCAGTGAAGAATATAAATGTTCAAATTACCATTGGGAATCTTCATTAAGTAGAAATGTAAAAAAAAAGAAATCAATTTTAGTAATATTCACTAAATAATATAAGAATTAAGTATGTGATTCACAAAGGTTATATATATTTTAAGAAACTAATATCAGAAAAATTTTATATGAGAAAAGTGTACATTTAATTGAAACTCTATACACGCATACATTTTTCTTAAGTATTATCCATTAATTACAGAAACTGCAGAAAATCTCAAAGGGCTGGCACTTTCTGGACACTACAAAAATAACACACACTTCACCATGGCTTTTTTCAGACATTTTTATCATGAGAAATAATAAATCCATGTCCAAAATCCCTTATAACCAAGTTAATTTATAAATTTAATTTTTTCCAGAGGAAACAACACTTTAAGTTGACATACATTTTTCTTTTTAAATCATCAGTGAACTTAACATTGTTCTTCAAAACTACTTCGTGGTGTCAATTTTAAAGTCTCCCTACTGTATATGTGTAACATTTACAATCAGTGCCCTTGGATAATTTTAATTTCTAATAAATGTGATATGTAGTTGATGTTAATTGCCACACTGCTCCAATATATTTGCAGGACAATTTAGTTCTACTTCTTTAACTGATAGGTGCTATTGTTACTGCCTCCAGTGACCATGCGTACAACTGGGACCCATGCATGCAGGATACCAAATATGCAAATGGCCTGTCTTGGGAAAAATAGAAGAATGAATGAAGAATGAAGAGGACTGTCAAGGTGGTGAATTGTGTATGCCATGCTCTCTAGCACTTCATTTAACAAGACATGAAAAAATACAGCACAGTAATAACATTGGTTAATGTGCAAATGAGACGGATGGTGGCATTGGAGGTGCTGTTATTTAAATTATTTCTGCTATTCTTATTACTGTGAAACATGAAGACTCAGAACTTGCTCCATGAGATATTCTCCTTCCACTTCCCTAGCGAGTCCTCACAGTC